CGGAAAGTGTAATTAAAATTTGGTGCAAACAGACGAAGAAAGGAAGACAAGAAAAAAGGTAGATATTGAGGTATTATTGTAATTATTAGCCAGATACAGCTTAGAGTACTATTTTCACCTTATTTCATCTATTTTTTTATATTTATTTTTTGAGGGAGATTAGCCCTGAGATAACATCTGCTGCCAATCCTCCTCTTTTTGCCGAGGAAGACTGGCCCTGAGCTAACATCCATGCCCATCTTCCTCCACTTTGTGTGTGGGACACCTGCCACAGCACGGCTTGACAAGCAGAGTGTGGGTCTGCACCCGGGATCCGAACTGGCCAATCTCAGGCCACCAAAGCAGAATGTGCAAACTCAACTGCTGTGCCACTGGGCTGGCTCCTTATTTCATCTATTTTAATAATCATTTTGCAAAGTGCTTAAGTAAGAAAACTGAAGATTCAAACACTTGAGAAAATGTCACAGATCTCTTAAATGGCAGGCCAAAATTTACATTTGGTCTGACAGTACAGATCATATTTTCCACCCTTCTTCATTGACTGAAGACAAGTTTAAGAATTTTTTGGTTTAAATTAATAGGAATTGTATATGCAGTTAAATAAGCTTGAAAAAGAAAACTGATACTACAAACAGTATTGCCAAAAGTCTGGACAGCCAATAGGGTTGGAACCTCAAAATTAAAACAAAACAAAAAAAAGTTAGAGCCACTGCTATAAAGAGTGCCAATTGATATAGGGATCCCAAGAAGAGATTCTGAGGAAGGCTGTTAAGAAGTACATCCCTAGCTACAGAACTTTATGTCAGAAGAAAGAGTGCATCGACTTACATTCATCCTTATCTTTTTTCCCCTTTCCACCCAGTCAGGCTCCATTAAACAATGAATGAAAGTTATCAAAGTGTATTTACAATGTACCACTTCATGGACCAGTGAATTTAACTTGGCAATTTTCTGATGAAAGAATGATATGGACAGGAATGTGCAGACGCTCCTGGAAACTGATTTATAGAATAGTGCTGATTTTGATCTTTGGGAAGATTAGCTGTTCTGCCTTGCTGGCTAAAGTGAACTGCCTTAGAGATTAAATACGGGACAGGTTTCAAAGGACTGTTTTATCTATTTCCTCCCATCTCAATGAGTACTTCTTAAAAGTTAAAGTCGATTGAGTTATATAGTTTAATTTTCAATTTGTAATTATTTGCAACATAAAATATATAACAATGAAGTAACTCTGAGACTGATAATCCTAATTTGAAGGATCAGAAAATCAGATGAATGCAGACATTAATGTGTCTTAGAGAAAGAAAAGACTACATTAAAAATAAATTCAGGGAAAGAAGTGAAAGACAATTTGAAGTCGTTAATTGTCAAAATCATTTTTAGTACATCATCACTAACTGCCCTTTACACAATTGAGACAATTGTCTTCTTGAAAATACCTATTGTATGTGTGTGTGTGTGCACGCAATATAGAATGAAGAATATTAATTAAATATATATGCACACATGTGTGCATATACCATTTTGCCTTCATTTCTCACAAATAACATCAAATTCATTGAGGCCACGCAGGGTGGTGAGATACCCATCGTTCTCAATCCTATAATAAATACTTGTGTTTCAGATCAGGTGTATATTCAAACCATGTACCACCACCTTCACTTTTTGCAAATATGATGTAATTTCCTACTTTATAAAGACAATGTTGCTTATTAGGCAAGGACGTCCCCCTGCCACCACACACACACACTCCAGCTAGATCATTGCAAATTTATCTTCAACCATTTACTTCTCCCTCCTGTTTGATTTTCTCAGGAAAGGTGGCATACTATTATGGGTTCTTTCCAGCTGTGATCAAGATTCTATACAGGGCCATCTTTACCTCAGTTCATCTTAGTAAATCAATGATCCTCTCTTTAGTGTCCTCAGTTTCTTGTCTCTGTTGACCGTTTACCCATCTGCACAGAAATACACTTTCAGTCTTCCAACTTCCAAGTAAAATCTTCATTTGATCATGTTCTCCTTTACTTGCTTCATAATATTTCTCTTCTGCTTTATCACAAAGCTTCCCAAAGAAGATGGTGTGTTTCTCCTTTTTTTTTCCCTCCCATTTCATTGGTTCAGATTTTCTTTCCACTACAATAAATTTGTTCCTTTCTTGTTTTTGCAAAGAATAATTATATATTTTTCCATCTAAATATTTAAAAGGAGTAATTGTTCAGACTCTGAAGACAGACTCCTGAGTTCAGTTTTATTCAATGAATTTCTACTTAGGTATGATTCTTCATCTCTCTGTGACCAGTTTCTTTAGCTGTGATGTGGTATCTGTATCATTAGTGAGGATAGTAACACACTCTGTATCATAAGGTTGTAGTGAGATTTAAAGAAATGATAATAGGTGTACCGACTAAATAAAAACTTAGAAAAAGTGCTCAAAATCCGTCCTGACACAGAGGAAACACTTCACAAATGTAAGTTGCTGTTACTATTATTGTGATGATAATGATGATGATTATGATGAGCTAAAAACTACTAGTGACAATCACCCTGTCCTACCTTTTGCCAAATCCAATTCATATTTATAATCCTATTTTTTTTTAAGTTTCTAGGATATTTCAAATTTTTAATGACTATCTTCCTCCTGTATAGCCTTCCTTTGGAATTTCCAATGCCAAAATTCCTTTCTATTTTTTGAAATTTTCTTCCAAGACTTTATTTCTTTCTTGTCTTCTGTTTGTTTCTTAAACACTGGTGCTCCCTAGGATACCAATTTCACCTTTCAGAAAGAATTATTCACCCATTTACCTGGATTTACTTGAGTGAAGAAGCCAATCAAGGAATGAAAAGCAGGCAATCCTCTCTTCATCTTCTTTTTTTAATTAGTTAATGAATTTATTTAACATTGGTGGGGAGCTAGCATCTATTGCCAATCTTCTTTCTTTTCTTCTTCTTCTCCCCGCAGCCCCCCAGTACATAGTTGTATATTGTAGTTGTAAGTCCTTCTAGTTCTGCTATGTGGGATGCAGCCCCAGCATGGCTTGATGAGCAGTGCTAGGTTCGTCCCCAGGATCTGGACAGGTGAAACCCTAGGCCACTGAAGCTGAGTGCGAACTTAACAACCCGGCCATGGGGCCGACCCCCTCTCTTCATCTTTTTATCTATGTTACATCCATTAATTGCTCTAATATTTATTGAATGCCTACTCTGTGTCAAAAAACATGCTAGACATTGGGAATGCAGTGATGAGTTAAATAATCTTGTCATCATGTCGTGTACATCAACAATTAATCAGAAATATGAACATCAAATGAGACTTTGTCTCATTTCCTGCTTAGGTACCATCAATCGTTCTCCATTGGGTAAAATTTAACAAGATCCTGTGTGCTCTTATACCTACTGACTTAGTCTCTCACTCTTTCTGCTCCAGAATCAATGATTTTACTTGGTTCCTTAACGTGCCATGTTCCACTCACCTCAGACTGTTGGTGCATTTTCTTTTCTCCTTATGGAATGCTCATCCTTATAACTCTTTACCTAACTACCTCTTAAGTTTCTTTCAGTTGTCTGTTCAACCATCACTGACTATCAGGCAGGATCAAATACCCTAGATTTTGATTTCCCAATAGCACCGTATAACTCTTCTTCGTTGAACAGCTTTCATTATCTATCTAAGATGTATGTGATATTTGACTTATGTCTTTCCACTTCCACAGATTGGAAGCTTTTTGCAGGCAGACATGAACTCTGGCTCTGCTTATCCTCACATGGTTCATGTGGAGCATAGCAATCGGCATGTAAGAGGCCCTCAAAATACACATATTTGTTAAATAAAGATATGAAAGTTGACTCTTTTTATTATCACATTTTTGACCCAGGTTTGACAATCTCTGGAAAGAAAGATTAAAATGAGAAAATATTTTAGGTGAAAACATCAATATTTTACATGGACCAGTGATGACCACTGCTCTGGAAGTATTTACTCACTCTAAGTTCTACTTTGCAGGCCCCTTTTGAAGCATCCAAAAGACAAGTTAGCGCTCAATTTTAAATCAATATAAAATTGTGATTATTGGAAGAATTAATGAGATTTTATATAGTGCAAATAGAAAAGTATATACGAAAGGCGCAAATAGATAGCTAAATAGATAGCTAGAAGATACGATGGATAGATAGATGTAGATTGATACATTTCAATAACTACAATAGCACATCAGGATACACTTTCTCAGCCTATGTTCTGAACATACTCTACACTAGAATGATTTGGAGTACTTATTAAAAGGCCAATTCCTCAGCCCCACTCCAGTCTTTCTGAGTTAAAATATATGAAGCTAAGGCCTAGGGATCTCAATATTACTAGATTTCCAAGCTGAAATTGTTAAACATTTAAAGACTGAGACACATTGCATTAGGAGTTACACTAATGCTTCTTTGCTAATTGTCTGTGTTCCACTTCATTTCTACAAGGACACGGGCGTTATGTGCTCTTAAAAGCAAAAAGCAATAGATTCAGGCCAATGACAAATTCTTAGAAATAAAAAAAGACTGAGGGACAAGGTTAATGGTTTCACTAAAGCTGCCTTTATGGATCCACGACGGTCAAGCAAAATCCTGTCTCCTAATGCGTGTTAGCTAAGATGGTGAAGGTTTTTACAGTAGTTAGAAAAAAGTTTCTTAATGCCACTTAGATTAGTACAACATAAAGTAATGCCATTAATAGAACTAGCATTCATGATAAATTTGTTATTTGAAAACCAAGTTCAGGGGAGCATATTCATGGTGTATTCTACATCAGATCGTCCCTTATAACAAAATATATTTCCTAAGGGAAGATCCAAAGAGTCAGACAAAACCATAATTAAAATGAATACACATCTCAAAGAGAAAATATGTTATCATTTTAATGACCTAGCAAAATGGATTATTCATACCTCTGCCAAATTTCCATTCATGGTAAAATGGCTGAGTTGCCTAAATCACTAACGGTATGTTCTTTTTACCTTCTTTAAGGAAAGGATCCCTTCTCTGGTCTCTTTGTCGGTGGAGATGGAGAAAATCCCGACACCATCACCGTTAATGATGGAGTATGTCATGTCAGCGTTTGAACCAGTGTCTGCATCATTGGCCTTGATTTTCCCGACAGCTGAACCAACTTGAGCTGACTCAGGAACATAGAGCTGATAGTGCTCTGAAAAACATTTCATATTAAACTTATTTGATGATAATAATCATATTACAAGAAATAATAACAATCATCCTAGCAATACAAATAATAATTAGAAATAATAATCTTACAAGAAAAAGACATGAAAATATTTAGACCACATATTCAAATGTATATTATATTAAGTAATGTATAAAACTGATTTGTTTTCAGATTTTAAATATTAGTATACTACCCAGTAATGAAATACTAGATTTATATAAATTTTAAAATATATTTAAAATAGTCTACAGGAAAATAATTTGTAGATATCTGGCTATAAATATTTTTCTTGCTCTACATCCAGACGCAACAGAAAAATAGATAAGGGAGGTCAAGTTTGCATTTTTATATTAATCTAGTATTAATGTAATCCCCAATACAATTCTCCATCTGTGTACACTGTGAAGTTAAAATATAAAAGTGTGAGAACTTGGAATTCAAAGTGAAACAGAGAAAATATAGGTTATTTGTGAATATGATTATTATTTTGATCAATAACCTTTAGTGAAATTTATAAGCCATGACAAAGAAAGATTCTATATGTATATATGCATTCATTTATCACGTATTCCTGGTTAGCATCTAAAAAGATTTTGAAGTGGTTTTATAATAAAGTCATAAATAAGATAAAGTTATTAAAATTAAAAAAATGACCAAATTAAAGGATGGGAAAGTAAATATAATGACTACATAGAATGATGCAATATTTGTGATTAGCATTAATTTTGACTATATATTGTATAGCTGACAACATTAAAATACTACTGATTCTATATATTTCATTATCTTATCTGCAGAAATATGTTTTTCATTATCTCCTGATACTAAACGTTTACACTAAAAAATAAAAAAAATTTCAAAGTATGTCCTGATACTAATTCCTGTAAGGAGAGTTCAGATAAGTCTTCCTATAGGAACACATGAAATAGACATTAAGAAGCATAATGTCCATGTCATTACAACTGTTTTATTGATAACTTAGAAACTACTTATTAAAGCAATTTCTTTATTATAGCAAATTTCAAACAGCAATATAAATAATAGGAACCTTGAATTAAAATGTAATTTTATAAAAGAATTTCAACCAAGACTAAACTAATAGTGATTTAACATTATACATGGATATAATCAGACTATATAGATAAGTGAATGAAAAGCCTCTATGAAAATAATTTCTCTGAGCCAATATTTTGTTAGTTGTGGTATGATAACAATTATTTTGAAGTTAATATATCTGGTAAGTGTATGGAGTATTCTAATTTGCTTCTAAAGGTACAATTGTATGTTTTAAAGTGCTATGTGTACATGCTAAGGATTGACTTGTGTGTGTACATGTGTCTGTGTTTATTCATTATTCAACAAAGATTTTTCCCAGTTGTACAAAAATCTGAGATGGTACTTGACATAAAATATTAATTTTTAGTTCAACGGTCCTCGCCAACATAATATTTCCCAGGTATTTCCCACCCTCCACTGTGAAACACATGATCCCCTGAACTTAATCATGTGTTTTCATCAAGATCTGACATTTTTCTAAACTCTATCCCTCTTGATACTGTTAATTGATCTGGGAAGAGCATGGCCCAAATTTTTAAAGGACTTCACCTTTCTTTCTCACAGTAGATTGGTGAAAAGGTAGGCAGCTGATTCACAATGATGCAAAGAGAGTACATTCTCCAAAGTGTTCTAACTGGAAATAGGAAAGAATTTTAGTCTCTCTTTGGTGACAAGGCTATGAAATGCTGGCAATGGCCATGTTTCCAAAATTTATGTTGAAGTACTTAATCTAAGGACACAAATTCAGCATCAGAGAGAAGCCATAGTAATTTTCAGAATCCTTGAAAATATTACGATTTTCCTATGCAGCTACATAAAATAGGACTCAGTTCTGTTAAAAAATATACATAGACAAGTTACAAAATAAACAAGAATACATCTCATGATTTTTTTCTGAGATAGAAAGACTAGGAAGTAAAGTTCCTAAGTGCTATGATCTCTAAATTCCATTACTTCCCATCACTCTATAAGCCTCGCAAAGGAGTTCCAGCTAGCCAAGACTGCAGTGATGACACTCACAATCAAAAGAATCTTAGTACACAGAGATAAATAAGTAAATCACAGAATTATTATGGTGGTAGTATTACAAAGCAGGTTGTTTCTACAAAGAAAGTTGCAAAAACCTGTACAAGTAGGTCATACAGATTCATAGCCCAGAAAACATTTAGGCTGCCTTACAAGAGGAAGCATATCCCTGGAAGAAGAAGATCATGTTAAAGGAAGAATTGATACTTGTCGATGCATTCTAAGGACTGCAAGTATAGTAACTCTTCTGCGTACAAAATGGAGTATATTAAGATTAATACTTTAACATTTTCTACACTCTCCATATCGTTCAGAATTTATGAATTGTAAATTGTGAATTAACCTTCAGGAGGTAGCTTCTAAGATTGTCCCTGATGTTCCCTATATCAATGCCCTTGAGTAATCCCCTCCCCTCAATTTGCCTAGATATAGTGACTCACCTATAATGAGTTGATTAGAGCAAAACTAATGGGATGTCAGTTCCAACATTAGATTATGAAAGAACTGTGGCTCCCGTTATGGGTACTCTCTTCCACTTTCTCTCAGATTGTTCCCCTGGGGGAATCCGGATAGCTTGTTGTATTGAAGCCCTGTTGAGTGGACCATACAGCAAGGGACTAAAACCTGACAACAATCATGTTGGTAAGCTGGAAGCAGAAACCATCCCTGCATCACCCCAGGCAAGCCTTTGGATAAGACCGCAGCCCCTGATGCCAGATACACTGGGATCTCATGGACCTGAATCTGAAGCACCCAGCTAAGTCAAATCTAGATTCCTGATCTCCAGAAATTGTGAGATAATAAATGTTGGCTGTTTAAAGCTGCTAAATTTGGACTGATTTGCAATACAGCAATAGATAATTCGCACAGAGCTCCACTGCAATTGTCAGTGATTTGCCAAATCCAATGGACACTTTTCAGTTCTTGTCATCCCGTGAGGAGATTACATTACACAAGCTGTGTAATCCTGTGGTGCTTTGTGTAATGTCTGGGGAAATTTAAACGCAAACCAAAACAAAACAAAAATTCAAACAAGCAAACAAAAAACATGATAATACATTTATTCTTGGAATACAGTATTGAAAATGTCTCAATCTCCAGATATTATTTTATAAAGAAATAAATGATTGCAGTCTCAGCTAGTGCCCAAGGTGAACCATTTATCATAAGCAAATTCTCAGCTCATTCTCTCAGAGGATACCATATCATCTAGTAATCACACTCCTTGGTGTTTACCCAAAGGAGTTGAAAACTTATATCCACAAAAAAACCTACACATGCATGTTGATAGCAGCTCTATTCATAATGGCCAAAACTTGGAAGCCAGCAAGATGTCCTTCTGCAGTGAACAAATAAATAAACTGTGGGACATCTAGACAATGGAATATAATTGAGTGCTAAAAAGAAATGAACTATCAAGCCATGAAAAGACATGGAGGAACTTTAAATGTATATTACTAAATGAAAGAGGTCAATCTGAAAAGGCTACATACTGTTTGATTACAATTATATGACATTTTGGAAAAGGTAAAATATAAAAAAGACAATAAAAAGATCAGTAGTTGCCAGGGGTGGTGTGGGGAGAGATGAACAGGGGGATCACAGAGGATTTTTAGGACAGTGAAAATATTCTGTGTGATTCTATACTGGTGATCATTATACATGTGTTCAAATTCATAGACTATACAATATCAAGAGTTAACCTAAGTTAAACTATGGATTTTGCGTGATTATTATGGGTCAATGTAAATTCATCCTTGGTAAAAAGAAGTACAGGAGCTGGCCTAGTGGCATAGTGATAAAGTTCGTGTGCTCTGCTTCAGCAGCCTGGGGTTCACAGGTTCGGATCCTGGGCCTGGACCTACACACTGCTCATCAAGCCATGTTGTGGTGGCAACCCACATACAAAATAGAGGAAGATTGGCACAGATGTTAGCTCAGCGTCAATCTTCCTCACCAAAAAAAAAGTACAATTCTGGTGATTGATGTTGATAGTGGGGGAGGCTATGTAGATGTCAGGGCAGAGGACATATGGAAAATCTCTGCACCTCCTCTCAATTTTGATGTAAACCTAAAATTGCTCTAAAACACATAGTCTTAAAAAAAGAGGATTATCTTTTAGAAATAGTAATTAGGCATGAAAATGAAGATGCTATGATACAACTCAAAAGAATAATTCTAAGTATGCTGTATACTCTAAAAAGTGTATAATACAGACTGTAAAATGCCCCAAATTATTCAAACTGGTAAAACATACAATGCTAAAGTATTCACAATGTCTCCTAATCACTATAAAATAGCTGATAGAGAATATTTCTTTGTAAATCAAAAGAAGTTTAAGATATTTTCCAGGAACACCTAAGGACTGAATGAATAGCCATATCTCTAAAAAAATACTCTAGGGGCTGGCCCCATGACTGAGTGGTTAAAAGTTCAGGACACGCCACTTCGTCAGCCTGGGTTCAGAGGTTCCGATCCTGAGTGTGGACCTATACCACTCCTCAGCTGTGCTGTGATGGCATCCCACATATAAAGTAGAGGAAGATTGGCACAAATGTTAGTTCAAGGCAATTCTTCCTCAACAAAAAAAGAAAAAAATTACTCTAAATTCCAGAAGAATGAATATGGTGAGCCTCATTTCTTAAAAATAGCCGTATTGAGGTACACTTGATATAGAAAGAACTGTATGTATGTAATGTATACAATTTCCTGAGTCTGGACATATGCAAACACTGGCAAAATCATCACCAAAATCAATATAATACACATATCCATTACCTCCCAAAGTTCTCTTGTGTCCCTTTGCTTTGTTTTTTTTTTAATAAGAACATTTAACATGCAATCTACTCTACTAACAAATTTTGAAGTGCACAACACTGTATCGTTAACCATGTGGCACA